CTACTTTCCTTACTATATATATATATATATATATATATATTTCTGAGTAAAAGGACACAGGTCTTTCTTTCATAACCTTGATGGGTTCTAAGCCAATTTAAATTAAGTTTAAGTTTTTGAAGAATCATGGCACTTAAAGAATTGTGATAGTCAAGGTGATCATTACGGTTTAAGTACCGTGATGACATAAGCCCCACACCAACAATATTTGAACCCTCAATGAGACCATCATAGCTCTGGGTTAACTGGGATGACCTAATACTTTTGTGAAGGGTATTTTGGTTAAAAAATTGCAAAAAGTAGTGAAAAGGGGTATGAATGAGGTTTTGAATAATTTAGAGTTTATTTCTAATAATCTTAAAATATATATATTTTTTACAATTTTTCTGAAAAAAATGATGTCTTTGTTTTATATGGGGGGTTGCGACATCTTAGGCCCTAAGCCTGTGTGAATTTAAGTAAAAAAGGGAAGTACACTTGTTATATGATATCCCAAGCATGGATCACATGTTGTGCATTTCCAAGCATGGATCACAAGTTGTGCATTTACTTCCTTTGATGAAAGTCAAATTTAGAAGAATTTGCTTTATGTGATACTTCCATTATGATATCCCAATCATGGATAACATGTTCTCGCACAACATGTACATTTTCTTTACATGAAATTTTGGGATCTAGTTTAGAATCATTATTTAGAATCACAAATGAGTATCTTAAGACACGAGATGGATTATGAGTTTCTAAATACTAAGATATGACTGTCTATAAATTAGATGGTTTTCATTCATTTACGGATTTATTTTCAAGCGCATGTAGTATGCCTATGGTTCTCTCTTTTTCTTTTTGTCTCTATGTCATTTGAAGTTGGTCATTATGCTGAGAAGGTCACAACCCTAAATTTGGGGCCCTAAAAATAGTCCTACTTAGTGGTTTTACTCTAAGTGAAACATTTAATCTTTTGATTATTATGCCCTTTTGTACAAGGAAAATATTTAGGTTTGTTCTTGATCAAATGGGTCTCCTTTCAAACCTCATATTTTAAAAAAAGGTTGATAATCCCAACTACTGCAATCACGAACATATGGAAAAAGTAAAACTTAAACCGTAAAAGTAATTATAATAAAAATATCAAAAATAAAATTCAAACATCTATTTAAAAATTTTATTTTTTGTTCGAATGATCAACTTGTAAATTTAAAATCCAAAATCCATCTCAAAAATAAATTTTTTAGAAGATTTCATACAAGTGAATCCACCAAGGTCCGTCCTCTAAAAAGAGAATACATAACAATTTTTTTTTTTTTTTTTTAGGTAATTCAGTAGGGAAGACATGCCCCTGTCCGTTTTTTCAGGTAAATTAGAGAGTTAGTGTTTTTGAAGGTACAAGTGGGTGGCGTCAGCCGGATTGAAAATGATAATGTGGTAACTAAGTACGTGGGTGCTACCATCGCAACCCAACTGTTTTCCTCATAACAACTTATTTTTACTTTTAAAAAATTAAGATGTCATAGATTAAAGCAAAAATTCATCATTCAAAGTCGTCTAGGAATAAAATTTGAAAAGGTTGAAACTTTTCCATTAACTAAGCTTTTAAGTTCGGATAAAGTTTATGTAAGGTTGCAACTTTAAAATGTAGAATTACATATGCACCTAAAAAATCTAGTGGAGAATGTTGTTTGAATGTTGAAAATTCCTCTAATAGATCATCTCGACATCGAGATGCAAGAATATAAAAAGAAAAAACAAAAAAATAAGAAAAAAGAAAAGAATATGAGTCCCAAAAATAGTGCATCTTACAATACATTATCTACGACGTCTATTTTCAAGATTTCTATATTTTTATAGATTTATTTGATTTTAACAATTTGTTTAGTTTAAAATTTTATAATTAAATATAAAAATAGATTTTCAGATAATTCTAAAATTTTTTTACAATATAATAAAAATTTGAGGTGCCCTTAATTGGATTGTTTAAGGTCGCAACCTTATAAAAACCACACCGTTCTTATTAAAATACTTTTAATCTTTCTCTGGTCTAGCTGTCTTGAAGTCCTCGCTGGACTCGTGCATCACCTGATTTGCTGACTCGTTCGAATCAAATCCAAGCCAAACCGAGTTTTCAAATTGAGCCGAGCCGATTCATTTTGGGTCATGAGCCGATTCGATAGTGAGCCGAGCCGAGGCGTTGAATGATACGTCATTGTACACGTCGACACTTTGCAATTCTTGTGCTGGTCGAATTCCAACGTGGATGAATTGGATTAGGACAAGGTGGAGTTTGAAAGTACCATACTACCCTTTACAATTGACAAAACTCCCATTTGAGTCCGTGAACAAAATGAATGACTCCTTATTTTTAGCATATTCAAGGCCTGTTTCTTTCTCATTTTATCTCTCTTGCTACTCTTCTTTTTGTTCATCATTTTTATTTTTAATTTATTGTTTAAAAATATTTCTATTTTCTCAATATTTTTTAATCATTTTTAGGTTTCCTTTAAAGTTTTGTATCGTGTTTCATATGTTCTACACTTTCTGTCTCCTATCACCAAAATCTTCCTCAGATATAAAAAGAATAACCTTAAGTTGGTAAAGTGCTACTTGTTTGAGCTTCTCGTGGACTCAAATCTAAGCTTGTCATTCGAAACTAGTGTCATTAATATTGAGAACAAAATCGGTTGTTTAGATATCATACATCTATACATCATTTGTATAAATGTTTTTACACCGAGATTTCAATAAAATACTTTGTGAGTGTATAAATATATTTTATAAAATGATCCAAATAGTTGAACTAAAGCTCAAATGATGATGATGGTTGAGATTTCAATAATTAAATGTGCATTTAATTTTTTAAGCATCAAATATAAGTGTCTTATCTTTAGCTTATTAAGAGGCGGAAGGGGCTAGAGTCGTGGTGGTAGCACTCCACATCCTAGTAACCACATTGTGGTTTCCATTTCCACCACAAACACCGTCCACTAATACATACCTTCAAAAAACGCTAACTCCTAGTCTACTTGAAACAACCGGTGGGGGCTGTTTTCCCCACTGAATTAAGAGGCCCTGAAAACCAATACAACACACATAACCTTTTACATAAATACTAGCCTAATCAACAATCTGTATCCCTATTTCTTTGAAGAATCAGATTTAGTTTTAAACTTTTAATATCAAATGCAAAATATAGATGAAGGTTCATGGTTCCATATATTAATTAGGGTTTTCACGCTACAAGGAAAATTTAGTCATTTTCATTGATTAGGTATACAAATTTGGCCTTTCTAGAAAATGAAACTCCCACGTCACCCCATTTTCAAACCATTGTACCCGGTTTTAAGTCAATGGCAAAACCAACTTGTGGCTCAAGCAAAAGGGCTTCCAAACCCTTGGAAATTCCCTTATGAATTGCCAAATGGAACTCTCTTAAGTCAAAGACTTAATCCTTCAAATAGTCCTCATCCCCCCCCTCTCTGTGAGCATTTCCACCACAAACTCCTTCAACTAATCCCCAAACCTTTTGTCTTAACAAGCTCTCTTTAGCTCCCCATCAAATTCATCCAAAATACGCCCTTTATCAAATTTATCCTGTTATCAAACACGCCTTTTATAAATCATCGAAAATAAGTATATACTTACTGAGGTGTTAATCTTTTTCGAGAAATTAAATCTTTTGAAGATTTTTTTTTGCTAGTCATCCAAGCACTTGCGAGAGGTCGAGCCCGGAATTTTTGAGAACTTGACAAGCATGGGTACTCTTATAGGGCATGTTGCTCCGGGATCGGGATTCTTGCTCATAGGTCTGTGGCATCTCTTCAACCACATCAAGCTCCATGCCTCGAACCCGAGCTCTTACCACTCTTGGCCTTGGTTCCCTTCCACCTTGGTGAGGTACCTTGAGCTCTACTTGATAATGGCCGGGTCGTGGCTATCAATATCCATGGAGCTCTTTATCGGGCCGGAGAGGCATCAACCTCTAGACCCAGACTGGTCCATACCATCATACCATCTCCACAACTTTGAGCACGCGTCCATCTCCTTCTTCTTGTTTCTCTACTCTTTTGTAGCCTATTGCTTCGATCGTTTCGCTATCAAGGTTCATAAGGGGCTTGTAGAGCTGCTCGCTGCACTAGCCTTTGCCCAACAATTGCTATTGTTTCACCTCCACTCAGCTGATCACATGGGAGTTGAGGGCCAATACCACTGGCTCTTGCAACTGGTCATTTTTGTGACACTTGTGACTACTTTGTTGTCTATCCCTTACCCTAAGAGCTTCTTGGTGGGCTTTGTCAGGTCATTTAGCCTTGTTTTCCAAGGGGTCTGGTTCATAGTCATGGGGTTTATGCTTTGGACCCCTAGATTGATCCCAAAGGGCTGTGGCATGAGGCTTGAAGAAGGGCACATGGTTGTTAGGTGTAGGGGCCATGAAGAATTAATTAGGGCTAAATCCTTGGTAAACCTGCAATTCAGTTGGTTTTTGGCTGGGGTGACAGTTTTTGCAGTGGTATTTTATGTGGGTTTGTTGAAAAAGTACGGGGAGAAGATAGAATATGTTGGCTTGGAGCAAGAGGAAGAGGAGGAAGTGCCAAAAAAGCTCGAGCAAAACAGGAGCTTTGTGCATATGGGAGAAGGGATGCCAAAAATTGTGTTGGAAAGATAAAAATGGATGATAATTTTGTGTTTGCTTCAAAGGAAGTTCACCTAAAAGTGCAAAAAAAGTAGCCTATGTACATAGAATAGACCTGTTGTGTGTCACCTGTTTCACAATTTAGTCCCCACAATTTAATCAAATTTAATGAATTAGTGAGGGACCACCATGTGAAGAGTGAAAGGTGGTTGCGTGAGTGGTGAATGGGCTTTTTGAGAGAGAGAGAGAGAGAGTGGGACATTTGTAACATGGAAAGGCCCCATATATTTGCTTCTCATGTTTTAAGGAAGTGCATGTAGCATGGGGTGTAACATTTTTCATTTCTTTGTGTACTGTGGTGATATTGTTGTTTGCATCTTTAATGTGATGAGCAAACCTTTGTGGCCCATTGTATGTTTTTGGTTGTTTTTATAATGGGATATCAATTGATTAAAATCATCCTTAATTGCTATTTTAGCCCTTTTGTGTGGTCAGGTTCTAGAGGATGGACAAAGAAGCTTGCTACTAAATCTTGCTTGCCTAAGCAATGACTTAAATAAGAAATAAACTATGCCAAAATCATTCATCATTGATTAATTGACTAATCTTGGATGATTATGTGTCTTTAAGGCAAGATGCCCTAAAACCCGAAAAGACATTATCTTGCCCATAGATTAATTACTCTTGCATTGTGACTCTCCTCCCTCGTGACCAAAAAAAATCAGATATGGCTCCTAAATTGCCAAGGGCGGGATTCCAATTCAGCCGGTTCTATTTACGTAATTCTCAATAGGGCTGAGATTGGGTCGGATTAGGGGTCCAGATCCACTTGGATCATGATTCGTATCCAAAAAATATACATGAGATCTTGATCAAGATCCACTTAGATCGTGATTCATATCCGAAACGTATACAATATGGATCCAGATCCGTTCAGATCCAAATTTAAAAAGTATACATAAGATTTGGATCTGGATCCGATCAATCCAAACATATATTTTATATATTATTTTAAGTTTATAAAATAATATGTAACAAAAAAACTATATAATATATATGTACATATGTAAAATAATACAATATATTGATAGCTAGGTCTGCCAACTTGGACCACCATGATTTTGAAACCACAAATAGAAGAATTGGGGCAACTTCTGTTGTTCAAATCCAAATTGCCCACTTCTTAATCCTTGATTGAGGCGGTTCCAAGTCGAATTGGGATGACTTCCGGTTTCGAGTCCAAATTTTCCACTTTTTAATCATTGATTGAAGCGGTTCTCTTCAAGCGGTTCCAAGTCAGATCGACAATTATGGAACCTCTGAACCCATAGATTAATTAATCCTGCTGCGTGACTCTCTCACACTATTTGTTGAAAAGAAAATTGGGCTCCACTCAAGTTTGGCCATTGGGCTAAAATCATTATAATCACTTTATAAAACTCTTTAGTGTGGTTCCACACAATAAAACCACATTGTCCCCCATCTGTCTGGAGTAACAACTTTCATCATCCAAAATTATTAATTACTCTATTATATACCATAAATATCAGATCTATCCCTATCCCCATCCCTATCTTCAATGTTGCACCTACCTATGAATCTTCAAGGTGCATCAACTTTGCCCCCCTTGAGAGGGACCGCTTATTTTTTAAAATGACAACAATACGCTCACTCTTGGGTCCCCAAAAGGTCCAAAGCTAGCACAAGAGAAGGTGTCCCTGTCACTTCCACCGTCAAATGAGGGCTGTGCGCCTGTCAAAATAAGTCTCACTTAATAACTCATCGAAAATTGTAACTTAATAACTCATCAAAAATATTAATTCAAGTGGTGGAAAACCTTTACGTCGATCATCTTGACTTAAACATTATAGTTGTAAAAAAAAAAAGATTTCAAGCAATAAAGATAGTGTATATTGTAACAAACGATCTATACTTTTTATTTTGCCCAAAAGTTAAATACTTATGAACCCACAAGATATGTACACTTTTTTAATTTCAAATTTATGTTGGAATTTGATTTTAGAACCATCTTGAAGATTTTCGTTACTGAGACTGCTTTCTGGATGAGGATTTCAGATGAGGCTTTATTTTGTTTTCATAAAACTAAGCTTTATAGAAACTTCATCTATGTAGAATATAGTGAAGATCAAAAGATTGCTTATTGGGTTCAGTTTACATAAGGTGTTAGCATTAAATAATCAAAGTAAAAACACACATGATAGATAAGGGTGGTAATGGGACGGGTGGCCGGGCCCGGCTCAGTCAACCTAGCCCTAAAAAACAAAGGCTTAAGTCACAAAATGTAGCTTGAGGGCTACACCAGACTATGCAACCATGGTCTGAGGGTAGGCTTGGGCCGCCCTAGGGGGCTAGGGCCAAGGCTGGCCCGCCCAGGCATGACCTATTGCCAGATTGATAGATTTAATTTAGGTGTTAGAAACTTTTGGACAGACTGAAATTTTATTTTTGTTGTTATTTATAAAATTTAAAAGTTCAAAAAATAATTTAAATCGAGCTGATCCTAAACAATTGAAAAATATTGAAAAGAGACAGTCCAAATAATGTATTGAAACTAGACATCTTTAGGTCAAGATTGTTAGGTTTGGTGATAGTCAAAATCACCGTACCTATGTTTTATTAGAAAATTAAGGGTATTATGAAAAAAGAAAAGGGATTTATTAGGGACTAAGAAAGAAGCTCAAATAATCTCTATAAGAGGGGATTAAAGATAACATAATACTCATCCTTTTGAGGATCATCCACTTGGGAAGTTATGGAAAGAAATCTCCAAGATGGAGATGAGTTTCTAAAAGAAAGAGACGTGGCTTTTGAGATAGAGGCGGTATTCTCATGGGTTTTGGGTTAGTAAGACTTCCACTTCTAGAGAAAAAATCGCTCGACAACTCTCGATGTTATATTTCTGGTAGCAGTATTGCGGTAGGAAAGATGATATTGATCAATGGTGTTGCTTAAGAGGGAGAACGAGTTTAGAAAGAAAAATCGGGAAGGTTTTTTACTGATGTTTAAATAGAGGTATATATTTGGTAACTCAAAACTGTAATCTTCATTGTGATAGTGGGGTTCTAGCTGTCAAGGTTGTAGATATAGCTCTACGAGGTGAAACACGTAAATCGTATGTTGTTATGGTGTGTTATTTATATTTGTTTTATTTCTCACACTCGATTTATAGTGGTATTCATCTACTTCACTTTTAGCCAATCATGTTCACGATATTGGGTGGTATCCCGGTATTTAGAATTCCCAATTCCGCAAGCTAGGAGCTCCCGAGAACCCTACAAAGATTATCAATTTGAGGGTTTTCGATACAGAAATAACTTTTATTGATGGCTTTTTTAGCTGTACCATTTTTCTAAAATTAATGCTTTATATATAATTTCTTTCCAAAAGAAAAACAAACTCCTTGTTTTGAGAAGTAAAAGAAAAACAAAAAATAACTTTTCACCCCAGCTGTAATGGGCAGCTGCAACACGTTAGTTGATGATCTCCTTTGTGAGAGTTTAGGGCTTTGGGGTTCAATGATTTCTTCTTAAAAGTAGCTAATGGTGAGTTTCGTGTAGCTAAGCAACCCTCCCTTAATAATCTTACTTGGGTGCAGTTTGCATACGGACGCATCCGTAGGTGTCGAGGTAAGGTGCACCTTCAAATTTTATCATGGTATATAAATTTTGATGTAAAATGTTTTTAAGATTATCTCAAAATCTATTTTTATATCTAATTATAAAATTTTAAATTTAAAAAATAGTTAAAATCAAGTAGATTATAAACATATGAATATCTGGAAAATGGATGGTGTGGATAATATGTTGTAAAATGCACTATTTCTGAGATTTAATATTTTCTTTTTTTTTTCATATTCGTACATCCTGATATCAAGATGATCAATCAAAGGGTTTTTCAACATTAAAACTACCTTTTCCAATGGATTTTTGAGGGGCATCCATAGTTCTACATTATAAGGTAGCATCTTTATATAAACTTTTTCCATCTTACTTTAAGCATACAATTTCTTTTCTTTTGGAATTTTGCATTTTTTATATTTTTAACTTTTTTTTTTCTGCTAAAATACTCAACACTACTCCAGTTGAGTTACTCGGACTGAGCCCAAGAACTCAGCTTGGGCTTGGACTGAGTACTCGGCTCGAGTCGACGTTTCCAACATTGGACTAACTGGTTTGATCTTGAAAACACTGGTTCTAGAGTTGGGTTAAGTGGCTTTGAAGATTTTAGAAGTTTAGATTTGCTTGGCTGCTGGAGGTGCTTGTGTCAATTTCTATTAAAAAAAAAAAAAACAAAGGGTTGGTATTGGATCCACATGCTGTGGAAGCTTCAAAGGTTCATAAGCACCTTTTAGTGGTTTGGATTGAGCCAAAAATAATTTTTTTTTATTTCTATTTTCTTATTTAAAAATTATATTAATTTGAAATTTGGGATCTAGCTTCATTTTCATAATTAGGATTGAATTAAAATAATAATAAAAAAATTGATTAAAAAATGTTGGTCATAATAAATTTAATGGTATTTTAGTTAGTTTATTATTTAAAATATTTTTAATTATTTTAATTAGTTATCTCTATAAACTAACCCTACATTCTCAAATTTAGCTAAATATATTATTTAAATAAAAAATAAAATATGAAAGATGGAAGGACCATGTGGACGAGATACTTTTCCAAAATAAAAAAACCTTTTGCTCAATTTAAGGTCAATATTGGTATTTTTCTAATTTTCATATACAAAATGGCGACTTTAAACAAATTAGTTATACATGTATATTTCTAATAATCGGACATAGTTAGAAGTAGTGAAAAAAGATATAAGCACTTGTGGTGTCAATGAGGAAATAGTTCTTAATAGAACAAACTATTGGACTAAAGTTCGTGTAGCGACCCCAATTGAGAAGGGGCTCTCATGATGATGTATTTTGACAATTTTGTTGTGAATTTAGAACGTGTTCGAAAGAGTACGCAATTAAGACAAATATTTGATGTGACTTGAAAAATAAATTAGTGCCCAAAATTGTTACAATGGCCCGCTTGCTTACATAGACAAACTTAAATTGTTTTAGAGACGAGTGCAAGAATAGGGAACATTGAAGTCATTAAAGTTAAAAAAACACGGAACATATTGATGTGAGGGCTGGGATGAGTGTACGTTTGCCACTAAAAAAAAGCAAGAATTTAGCGTTGATTGCACATTTTCTATTTTTGAATGGGCTTGTAGATTACCAGGGCTTGTTTTGTATACGTACATTATCAA